TGGCTCATTATTTATTTAAAGAAAAGATTTAAGCGCCCATAGGAACCAAATTGCCAACTAAAAATTTGAACTATCACGTAAATTATTTATCTTTCAAGATATGACAGATATACCGGAACCTTCAAATTCGCTACACCATTCAGTAAATATAAATATGGATGTGCGAGCAAGAAGATATAAACTCATCAAATTAAAAAAAAAAATGTATAAAGTTAGAAAATCTCCATAATATTTCTCGTATGCGATTAATAGTTGTTGGAATTCTTTGTATGCTGGCGCTTGGAATTGGAATTTTACTCAAAAAACGAATGACAAGATGCAAAGTGCTAAGGGAATTGTTTCAACATCAATTTTTGGGACAGGGAGCATTGGTGCACTAATTAGCAGTCTGATGTCACTTAGAAATTTTTTCTCTAAGGATAAAGTAGCCGACGATGAATGTGATGATAAAACTGCTGAAGATTCAATAAAAAATGAAGATGATAATAAACTTGAAGAAATAATACAATTTATAAAAGGACTTATCAGTAATATACGTTATATGTTAATTTGTCGAACTATAATTCTTGCTTTTATGTCATTCTGTTTTCTTATCCTGAGTATCACTTCTACTATTTTCTTGGCTCAAAATTTCAAGATTCAGTTTATTAATACTAATACTACAGGTACTAATACTACTACAAGTCTTTATTATGATGGTACGGCAAATGATACTAGGAATACACTGTTTTTTGAATGCACAGTTATTATTTTCCTCTGTTTTTCTGGTCTTTGTTTATGGGGAATTGTTGCTACTTTCTTTTGCTTTGAATATATCATTCCATTAATAGAAGACAAAAATAAGAATGGAAGTGAGGACAAAAGTAAGAACAAAGATGGGAATGGAAGTGAGGACAAAAGTAAGAACAAAGATGGGAATGGAAGTGAGGACAAAAGTAAGAACAAAGATGGGAATGGAAGTGAGGACAAAAGTAAAAACAAAGATGGGAATGGAAGTGAGGACAAAAGTAAGAACAAAGATGGGAACGATAGTGGAGAATTTCATCTGACACTCGAATTAGACGATATTGTAAAAAGAGCCGGGAAAAATTTTAAGCAACCTTTGAAGATTTTAATACAAATTTTTTTGTGGATCACATTCTTTAATATTTCATTTATTGGTCTAATATCACAAGAAGACGATAAGGCTTGCCTACTAAGAATAACTATAAATAAACAAGAAAAAAACAAAGTTGATGCTATTCTTTTTGGTCTATCAGCAGAACACCATAATAAAAAACACGAACCAAAAAAACACAACCGTATGCTTCTAGTAACCAGACTTTTTCACTGGTATGAACTGTCTTTAAAATTATTAATCCATCTTTTAAGATAGTTATCGTTAATATCTTTAAAGTAAATAAATAATCGTAAGTCAAAACTGATTTCCTTTTTCTTTTTTTTTAATTCAATCAGGTCTAACAAACAAAAACCACAAGAGACGGTCCAATCTGCTTAATGGTTATCTTTATACATACATTGTTAATAATTATAAAGAACTAATAAATTTATTCGAAATATTCAATACTTGTTGAAATTTCGGCACATCATTATTGAAGCTTGGTCTTTTAGTTTCTTTTCACTGTTCAATTCCCTTATTTACCAAAAAATTTGCCTAAATCACTTGTTCGCCACTTTTATCACATTTTTTATACTGCTGTACTTACCATGATGTGTTTTTACACCTTCGCCAAATATTTTATTTATAATATTTTATTTCTATTAATAATTTGATAACGATAATGTAGGTAGCTTAGCTGTCTAGTTAAGGATTATTAAGGGTGTTGTTTATTGGTTTTTTTTTGTGTTAAAAATCAATTAATTAACTACTAAGGGCAAGGAAACAGATGTTATATTAATAATAATAGATTAATATTTTAAGTTTTTTTTTATCGTATTTCTTACAGGACTTACAAATTAATATAAAATAAATATACAATATCTATCACAGTTATTGTTCCACTTTTTTTTGAATCACGATTTCTCATGAAATAAACTCATTGACTTAGATTTTATTATAGAAAAATTTGGTAGTACTTTTTTTGCGGGTTTTTAAAAAACCTCCAATTATTCATTTTTGATAGATAGCATAGTGGAAGTTTGTTTTTATTGGCCACAAATATGCAGCCTGCAGATATTGTTATTGTTTAACTAAATCCTAAATATTAAAAATTTTTTTAACCGTTTAAATTTTTGGATAGAAAAGAAAGTTATTTGTGTTCATCCATTGTGGTTACTGTTCAATTCCTTGATTGAAAATTTCTTTAACTTTTTCGTAGTTAAAAAAATTTTTTGTTCGTAAGTTCATACTATAAAACAGAAATGCTATTATGGCCCATGCAGTGTACAAAAACGAGAAGCTTGTCAACGAAGTGATAGGGCGATCATTATTGCGAGATCAGATGACTTATTGGATCACATGTTCACTTTGTAGTTATACAGTAGCCTGTTATGAGCTTTTGTGTCATGGTTTATATCATCGGTATTTTGATTTGGCACTACGACGATCACGTGACGCCGACAAACCCTTCGTTCAACGGCTACTAATTGCTCTTTATTATTATTTTTATTATTTTATCTACAGTACTTTATTTTATTTTAGTTTATTTATTTTTATATGTCCGCCACATTTAACGTATAAGATCGTTATGAATAAGTCATTACACATAAATAAGATCGTTATGCATAAGACGTTACGCATAAGATCGTAACGTACTAACAAACTTAAAACTTGGTGTAAAAAGGAGGCTTTAATAGTTTAATAAAATAGACTCTAGAAAATAAATAGTTAGTCTATTAGTAACTCGAATTTATATAAAAACTCATAAATGATCTTGTAAAGGTAGATTTCGGCGCCTCTAAAAATATTTAGCTTAATAAAGTCCTAAGGTATTCTCTTAAAAATCCAAAATCCACTTGGCTATCGTCTAACCGAACATTTCGATTACAATATGTTTGTTGGAATTGAATTTTTATGGTTATTAGGAATCAAGTAATAAGGAAAAGGTGGTTAATACATTTTGATAAGCTAATGCAAAAAAGATGAAATTGTTTACGCCAATGCAAGAATACGTATTTAAGGGTTTTTTGTCTGGTAGAGGAGGTTACTTTTCTTTTCGCTATCGCTGAGTAGAAAACGTATTTTTACGTAAATGATTTGGGAGGTTATGCTTGAGGGTTAAGTGTCGTCTAGGGAAAATCTATCATCGGGCTTTCAATTATATTTGGTCCTTGGGGGTATAATTGAAAGCTTAATGATGGGGGACGAACTGAACACAAATATAATTGTAAGCCCGATGACAGGTTTTCCCTTGGCAGCACTTTCAAATTTTATTGTTAATTTTGCTCAGCCTCTAGAAAATTTTGGTACGTACGTAGTATATGAACATATGAGGAAAAAAATTATTGGCCATTTGAATTTATTATTCGTTAGGGCTAATTTTGATTATTGGACCTTCTTTTTGGTCACTAAAACTGATAAAATTTGATCGAAGATCTCTCAA